TTTTCTTGAATATGCAGGAGTGTTTGTCTGCTAATGCAGTTGGCTCTACCTTGTTTGTTATATGCACCTGAAGTATCTAAATTGATTCTGAAGGGAGGGACAAATGCAGAAATGGCACCACCAATTGAGTATATGACTGACGTAAGTTATTGTAAGTTTCAATTTTTGACCAAAATATTTTAGGCAAATATACTGCAATACATTGTACAACTTACAGTGGTCTGGTTCATAATTACTGATTAGAAATCAACCTTTCCAAAGGTCCAAGTGGTAATGGGTTTGAGTAAAGCTGATACTTTGTGAGGTAGAGGTTCTAGAGGATGGTTCTCAACTCTTACTAGTTTCCATAGCATACAGCAGCTAAGCTGAGAGTCTCAGATCTAATTACAAGGGAAATGGCCAATTATCCTCTTGATTTACTACCTAATTTTGTTCAGCAATTATTATATCTGTTTGCAAACTATGATATTTTCCCATATATCAGCCACCTTACTTTGTTAGTCTTGTTCAAAGTACTGTACCTAATAAATGTTAAGTATATTTATGACTATTAATTGAATAATAATGTATGTTTGTTAGTAGATTTTTTAATTACCCTCTACAGGTTTTTAGACCCATTGTAAAAAGGTTGGGCGTAGAGTTTGATTGTGACATTGTAAGAAGGTTAGTTAATCTGATAAGATCATCATCATCATCATCATCATCATCATCATCATCATATGGGTTTACAACTTAACTGTGATAGCTAATCAAAACAACATTATTTTTACATAATAGGCCTCCTTTCATCTAAGGATGTAATGAATGCCAGTTAAGGTGGCCTACTATTAACAGTTTTTCTGAGACTTGGTAGCATGTGCTACAATTTCCTGTCAGATGTCATTTTTAGTCATGCTTGCAAAAATAACAAAAGTAACCCTCAGAAGAAACAAGAACAACTTAAGCGCTTGAATTGCATCAAACCACTTTGGTGTATGTAGTGACAGTTTCAAACTGCTTAATTGAAACGTGTGTTAAAGCCTACGACCAATAAAATATGACATAAAAGGTCGATAAACAGCTGGTAAAAGAGTTCTAATTTTCTCGAGACTTGCTTTTGCGCACAAGATTCATGGTGTCACATGAGTGTGCACTTAAATAAAAGGCATGCGCAGTTCAATTCTCGTTGAAGGTTGTAAAAGCTAGTCTTTGATCCAAGATTGCTCGAAAACCTACTGCACAACCCATGATGAAATTTTGACAGTTGATTTGTAGGGATGAGTTGCATTTAGAACCAAATTTTAAAAAAATATTGACAATAAGACAGATGCTGATCTAGTTTTGAGTCAGGCAAAATTTCACAATTTCTTAGTTTGCGAAAAATCTGTAAAACAGATTTTTATTTTACTTTTCATGAATATTTAATCACAGCCAATTTCTAATTCCTGAAATTTTGAGGTGGGTTCATACAGGTAAAATTTGAGAAAAACATTGTTAAACCTACTCCTGCCCAGTCTCTTCTTAGGCACTCGGTCATTCATCTTGGCCATTTATTTAGGTTTAAATTGTCAAATTTCATATATAATGGTAAATAACTTAATCAAACAGTAAACAGAGAAAGGAATAACAACGTGGAACATTTGTCAAGAGAATTAAAAGTTGTGCATTTAGACTTCATCAAAAATGTAGTAAGCCACCTTAACTGACATTTAGAGCTACATGACAAATTTTCCAGGGAAGTGGGGATAGGGGACAAATTGTAATGGACTTACATTCTTTAACTGTTTAACAGTTGTTTTACTTGACACTTTGAAGTTACTGATTATATTTACAGACTTACTAGCATCACATCTAAAAGGAGTCAAGATTAAATGTAGTTGCTTGATGCTATGCTATCTGAACAACAATTCTTTTTCAGCAGCAGTTCATTGAAGAAATATTTTGATTTGCACCAATTTCTTGCATAATGTCCTTTGACACTTTTTCTTGTAGAGGAATTTTTCACATTCAGTTATTTTCTAGCACCCCTTCCCACCCTCAAAAAATATTGGCCCGTTTCTAGTACTCTGGTGTTGTGTAGGCTATTCATGAACTTACATTTATGGAAGATGGATTTCCAGAAAAGTATTAACAGAGTTGGGTTCATTTATAAGTACTCTTTCTTGGGAATGCTAGTCTACAGAGCTCATTACACAATCTAATTCTCATAAGCAAAATCTGAACTTGTAAATTACTTGCAAGGAGCAAATTGAGAAAACAAATAATCAAAATTTTATTTTAGTTGATTTATTGTAATTTGTTTAATTTATTGTTGCAATCTTTTTGCACAAGAGGTTATTATCCCAAAGGAGGAGGAGAGATTCATGTGAAAGTGAAGCCAGTTAAGCAGCTGAAGCCATTACAGTTGCTGGAGAGAGGATCCTTAGTCAGGATAACTGGTTGTGCTTTTGTCGCTGGTGTACTTCCTTTCAAGGTTTGTAGACATGCTATCCACTATAAAACAAAAACAGTGCACCAGACTGAATACTAAAATTACTACCATCTATATAATGGTATTAAATCTGAGCCTTGTCAGTACAGTCCTTGCCCAAACTTTCCCCACATTTGATGAACCTGTTCTCACTTTATTGGACACCTGATACATGAACTACCGGTAGTATGTTATCCACTGTAAAACAAAGACAGTACAGCAGACTGAATACTAAATTTACTAGCCACAGCTATATAATGGTTTTAAATCCTAGCCTTGTCAGTACATTCCTTGCCCAAACTTTCCCCACATATACTGAGCCTGTTCTCATTTTCCTGGACACCTGATACATGCATACCCAACTAGTTGTGCAGCAAAGTTGCATTGCAAGTTGAAAAGTGTTGTTGTATTACCACCATGTTGCAAGTTGCAAGTTGCTATTAATTAACTTGCAAGTTGCTACCAGTTACTTCAAATTCCTCGTTGTTTCGAACTCAAAACTATTTTCCTTGGATTTGCCTTTCAATCATTTACTATGAATCGCTATTTTGAACTCCCACTATTTTGAACTATTTTACTGCACACCTGATACATGATATCGATTATCAATGATAGATAGCTCAAACAATGGCCAGAGAAGCTCACAGGATGTTGAAGAAAAAGTATCCAGATGTTCAAATAAATGTAGAGCCAGTCCAAGAATCTGCCGACAAAGCACATGGAAATGGAACTGGAATAATGTTAGTTATTAACTTAGGTTGTTATTAAAAATTTATTATGTTGCTTATTATTTATCGTATGTTTATTCATTTACAAAATAATTCAATCATTTCAAGATTTAAACCTGTATCTAGGCCAGGTTATGCAAGAAACATTTTCCTGCCAACTAGTAGCGCAGCAATGTTGCATTGCAAGTTGAAAAACATTGTTGTATGTACATGTATTACCACCGTGTTGCAAGTTGCTATTAATTAAGTTGCAAGTGCTACTTGTTACTTCAAATTTCTCATTTTCCTTGGATTTGCCTTTCAATTATTATTTATTATGATCGCTATTTTGGACTCCCACTCTTTTGAACTATGTTTTGCTTCCCCTGAGAGTTTAAAATAGCAGGTTCAACTTTGTTCTGTTCAGTCATGACCTAAATATTTTCAGGGTGATGGCTGAATCTACAACTGGATGTAGAATGGCTGGCTCAGCAATTGGAAGGAAAGGTGATTTAAAATCAAGAGAATTTTATCAGTAAAGATCTTTTGTTGTCAATATTAACTTGCAAAATGGCATAGCCATTTCGGAGTGAGTTTTAGGTATTAAGGGCTGACTTCTCTCTCCTTTGCACCTGTTAGACTCTTTGTAGTAAGATTTTTCCAGTAGTTTCCACTCTGAATTTGTATTGGAAAGTTCTCAGTGAGCAAAGTCCAACAGGTACCCAGGCTGGACATTGATACCAACAGCCAAACTAAGGCACTTCCCTTGGTAAAAATTTTAAATCTATTTATTTAATTCAAGTCCCTGTAAGAAAAAATACAAGAGGTATTTTTATGATACTGCCTCTAAACAGTTTAGACTGACTGTGGCTGTGGGTACCAAAGTTGAAAAAAATAATTCATTGGTGAAGAAAATAGAAAAAGGAAGCTGTGAATCTCAAAGTCAAGGAAAGCCTGTAAATTCTCATATGCCTGACAAACATCATAGATCTGAACACTTGACCAAGTTTGTTTGTTTTGCCATCTGAAGGTGTACCAGCAGAGGAAGTAGCCCGGAATGCTGTGGATGAATTGACAAATAATCTTCAATATGACAGCTGTGTTGATGAACATCTTCAAGATCAGGTGAATGTTGCGAAAAAAGTCATCCTCACTAGCCCCAAGAAATTTCTAACAAGCAGTAGTCAAAAAGCTTTAATTGCATGTTGGACAAGCAAAAGATGGATTATCCACAAGCCTGACTGTAAAATCTATTAGCCCCGAGCTATTGGCCAAATTTACTTTCTTTCCATCATCATCATCATCATCCTCCTCATGAACTGTAAGATTTTAGCTTTGAAAGCTAATTGGGGCATTCTGCTCTGCCCCGCTCTACAAATGGGTACCAGTGAATTCGATACAGAGGTTACTCCTTATTGGACCAGTGTAGTGGACTAGCACTCCATCCTTACTAGGAGATTAGAAATATTCTTACATATCTTGTGCTTCTGAATCTGAGGATAACTTCCAGCTCAAGGAGCCAGCAGTTAGACTTGACCTTTTTACGCTGCAACTTATTAATTATTACCAACCTTATGTTTTCAATTATTTTTCATTTATCTTCAGTTAATCATATTTATGGCACTGGCTGCAGGTCACTCATCGATCAGATGTGGACCACTCACAATGCATACACAAACAGCAATTCACGTGGCTGAGAAAATTATGAAAGTAGGTATATACACTGTAGTAAGGTTCTTAATCTTAGGAAGTGTTTCCATCTTACCTCATTTTGTAGCAAGGTGCAAAAAATTCATCTCAGGGCAAATGCAGTCATTTGATAGTTTTAATCTAAGTTTACTGCAACTGGAACAAGATACTAGGAAGTACTTGTGTGCATCTAATAATTGGCAAATATTAGCCTAGCAGGTCACTGATGGTGCCTGGGTGGCACAGTGGCTTAAGTTGATCATTGGCTAGTGCTCTGGACTCTGAATCAAACAATCTGGGTTTGAAGGTTTGGCTAGAGTCATTATGTTGTGTTTGTAAACAAGACAGATTCAGGTTTATAGCCAGGTTCAGTGTTTTTGCTGATTTAGTGGATTTCATCCATTGCTTACATGTGCATGTAGCTGTAAGTCTTCCTGATTTTTAATTAGTTGGTACATGAAAAAAGAACATTAAATTATTAAATAACCTTTAATATTCCTTATATTACTCACTTTGGACATGAAAAAAGCAAATAAAAAAGGCAGCAGGTCAGTGAAATGGCTCCTTTTCTCCTAAAGGGTGGCCTGGACAAGTTAATAATTTTCCTTTGCACAATGTAGTTGTTAATTTACAAATTTTGATTTTTATTCTTTTCTTTTAGGCAAAGTTCAAGGTTCAAGAGAATTCTGACACGAAAGAATGTATTATTGAATGTCAAGGAATAGGTTTACAAAACTCAAGTCTATAATAATCAGTACATTATTCTCCTGTAAATAACCATTGAATTATAGTAAGAATAAATTTCACATTGTCAGGAGACACTGTTGTTCTGTTTCTTTGAGAGTAGAAGTAGTACTGGGTAATGTATGTCTTCATCATACATTGGGTCCTGCTTCTTTGCCATGAGATGTCTGGCCCACATAGTTGAGTCGTAATTTTCAATTTCAGCCACACTAAACTGGGAAACTGCCTTACTGCAGAATGATTTAAGTGTATATTTTCTTTGTGGTGCAATAATAATGGCAGAACCATTGTCTTTAAGAAGAGTCTCTATAACATAAAGCAAGCCAGAGTGACTCTCAGTGAAAAATAAACAATCTGCACTGATTATTAAGTCAAACTGTGATTCCAGATCAGAGAGATCACTATTTTCAACCCACAGTAACCTTTGAGATGACACATCAGTTGAACCGAACAATGGCTTATTTTGGTAAATAATAGCTTCCATATTTTCCACGCAGTCAGAATTACCATCCGTTAGTAGTACTTTCGAAGGATTTCCAATTGAAGCTAAGAAAATCCCAGCCAAGCCTGTCATCCCAGCGCCAAGCTCACAAACTGCCTTCCCATCAAACTGATATTTCTGATTTAGCACATAAGAAGCTAGTACTTCTTCTGATGGCCACAAACACACGTTTCCAGTGTTGTCAAAACCAGTTAAATCTTCTAGGATGACTTTTCTACATCGTTGCTTTATGAACAATGATTGATCAGCGATGCTGTCATGCCGATAGTCCAGCCATTCATAATCAGCCTCACATTCGTTGTCAAAGTGAACAACATGTTTAGAAAACAAGTTAAATCCTTCAAATCTACGTACAGATATTTCATTATCCTCTTTGTCTAGACTTTGCTTCTTTATAACTGACGCTAAAATCTTCCATCTTTGCCGAGCTCTTTGCACAGCGTCCACCATGATTGCTCGCCTTTCCATGAATCATGGGACATTCTGACGTCATCATGGCATAAGTAACGCTGCTCCGAGCAGTAATGGAGTCGTTATGCGATCGATTTCCCCTCCATAAGGCGGTTTTTGAGGGAAATCTGCGGAAGGTTTCGGGCCGTTTACGTAGCTGCGATATAGAAGAAAGAGATGTTCATGGTAAGGAACTCTTTTTGTCGTGATTTTATTTAAAGCGTGTCAAACAGCGTGTTTTCTTTGCCGCCCATCGACCGCCGGCCGGCCGGCAGGTTACGAAAAGTACAACCGCGGCCACGCTTAGTTTTATGCCAAGCAATGTTTGATGAGAATTGTTAATTTTATTCGCAAGCAGATACGCGTGTCGAACACTTTTTAAGAAGCTAACTCCTGACAAAAAAAATTTGCGTTTTACTAGTTTTTATGGCCGGAAGAGCAGTGAAGGGTTGTGCAAGAGAACAACATTATAAATTGCGTCCAGACGATATTTAATTTGCCCCAACTTGCAGGCTTTCTATGTTTCATCAGTGAAATATGGTTCTCAGACGGTATCTCTTGGCCAATTGCAAATTGACTTTGTGATCTCGCTAACGGCTTCTTCCCCAGGAATGTAAGTTTAACTTGGTTGGTAACATTCAGTAAAATCGTACTAGGAGCTGAAGCATTGTTTATATAAGCTTTATATTGAGCTTATAAATTTTGGCACTCACTTGACGGTAGTGATTGTTTACCTTATAAAGTTGAAAATACTCATCAATAATGAATTGTGATTTCTAGTGATCAACGGGTGACGATGGCNTGTAAATTTCGCTGCCGAAGAGAGGGGATGGTTTTCCATAGGCCTGGCATTTGTGCCAGAAGGCCTTTAATATAAGTTGTCAGAAGTTGTGCATGACAAACAAGAATTCTCTAGATAGATTGAATCATCTTGGTTCTTAAACATGTCTTGTCAAAGCACTAAGATGCCTAAAAGTTTAATGTTCAATCTAAGTTCATAATTTATTGTCATGCAAGATTCTTATGCCAAGGTAATGCTGTACTCAAAAAGTCAATTTTAATGATCCCCGATTTAGATGATGATTAATGAATATTCTGTTTATGACTCTGTCACTCATGATACAGGGAGAACTAGATTGTAAGAGTTGAAAGCAGAAGCAGAAGAACCAACCAATCACAAGGCTGGAATCAAGCATTGTGATGGGTATATTCTTTCAGTTCTACTTCCGACTTTGACAATGTACAGATAGCTTTTATTAGATCATAAGCGACAGAGTCATAAGCAGAATTAGTATTCCGATCGTATTAACTCTGTGTCTAATTATGACTCTGACTACTACTCTGTCACAAATGAAAACCAGCCTTTAGATGGACTAGCATCCCATCCAGGGGGGAGTAGTAATACTCCTAGTCGCTTCATGCTACAGAAACTGGGATAAGCTCCGGCCTGATGGGCCACTTGGCTCGCATGCAGACTTTACCTACCTTACCTTTAGAGAAGGTACAGTACATCACAGTTCTACTGGTACTCTTTTGTATACCTTGACGGGGAGAGACACCCTGTGAGAGTAAAGTGTCTTGCCCAAGAACACAACGCAATGAACCAGGGCTCAAATTTGGACAGGTCAGAGTTTAGCATTAACCGTAAGACCACTGTGCCTTCATATACATGTACATGTATGTATCAATGAAAATAATATTCCTGACCTCTAGCTTAATTTTATGCAGCATGTTATGTTAACTTATTGCATTTTCATTTTAGAATGTGTGTACTTACTGTTGGCTCATGGAGCACCAGTAAAGGTGAAGAACAACTTTGGGTGGAGTCCTCTGGCTGAAGCCATTAGTTATGGGGACAGACAAATAAGTAAGCTTTTACAGTTGATAATTAGAATAATTTTTTTACCTGAATGTGTATTATAAATATACATGTGTAATAGACAAGAATATCTTTGGTTTTTTGGGTCTTGACATGCAGACTGGGCATATTGTAGTTCTGATGCATTAGTGAATACAAGCCCAAGCTATTTCCTGATGTGGTTGTAAAAGAGTAAAAGCATGTCTGTTAATAAATATAGAAGCCCGTTATAACAAATATTGCGTGTGTGTGAGATAAAATTGCTCATTACATTACAATTGTGGGACAAAGAATAAGTTCAATTCCTCAACAGATTTCAAACTGATGACCTCCCACGTACAGGTTCATGGTTACTCTAATAACCGAGCTAAGTACAGTGTATAATTATTATGTGTTGCACTTGTGTTGTGCAGGGCAAACATGCTTATCGCTGAAAAGTTGGAAGGGGAAAGTTCTTTTGTGAGGGTTTATCAAAATTTATCGTAAATCAGTTAGTGTATCGTAAATCCTTGAATTAGCGTCGCCCCCCCCCCTCTTGAATAAGCGCCCCCTTCAAATAAGCACCCCTCCTATCAGCCAAAATTTAAAATAAGTGTTCCCTCACCTCCCCCCACTTTGTGGACAAGTAATTCAACAACAAATCAACAAATGATGTATAGTTTTTGTTGTGTTTAATCACTCTGGTCCAAGTTTTTTATACAGTCATTAGTAATTTACATCTTTATAATACAGGAAACATGTGTTTTTTTCTTCTAAGTTGCATCCTACAATTTCTTGTTACAGTTTGTGAACACGTTAAATTTAGAAAAAAATTACAGGTACTAACGGTGCCGCAATTTAAACTTTAGTTTCAGCTTTTTATGTCGATAAACAGCCTATGTTGTTGTTAACGCGCAAATTATGTATTACAAAAATGATCATGTCAGGCCACAATTAAGTGCCCGACCCTCCTCCCCCCAAATAAGCGCCCCCATCTTCTTCTAAATTTGAAATAAGTGCCCAGGGCACTAATTCAAGGATTTACAGTATACGAGTCAGGATTTAAAAGTTAACTCTGAAAAGTTAAACTTCCTCTATATAAACAGGTTTGTTGAGGGCGGTCTTTGTAGCCAGTTGTCATCATCTACTTCTAATCATAATCTCAGCCAGCTACTCTGGGCCCTGGGCACTGGGCTATTCATCTGAGTTTTTCAACAGATGGTAAAATCATCCATTGCTTCAACAATAAATGTACCTCTTTCACAATTTTGTGGCATGCTTGTTTGTTCATATCACTAAACAGTCCCTAAACTTTTTATTTACTTGTTTTTAGTCACCTCTCTATTGAAGAAACTAAAACAGCAGTCAAGAGAAGCATTGGAAGAAAGAAGACCTCAACTGACTGCTGCATTACAAGAGGTTTGTTTTCCCAAGAGTGATCAATGACAAACATCTCCCTTCAATATTTTGTCTAACAAAGAGATCACAATAATAACAAAAATCTTCTACAGTACTATAATATTTAGCTGACTTCATTCTTGAATCTTCTTTGCAGCTTGGAGACTTTTATATAGAGATCAACTGGGATTTTCAAAGCTGGGGTAATTGAGTTTTGTTGCTTTAGCAGATATCCTAAAGAAATCTTCTGTCATGATGTTTTGTGTTGTATGTGATAAAAAAATTTATGCAGTGGTAATAACGCTATTGTCTTAATTTGCTTGGCTGAGTTGTTTTGCATGAAGATAAATGTACTTAACAAAGTGGACATTTTTATCACATCCCCTTTATTTCAAAAGGGGATAACAAACTGCCACCACATGTAATATAACTTCTATGATGCTACAGCAGAGCAAGTTTAGGAGAACTCAATAATTAATCGCTTAGAAGTACTCACAAACTTTGAAGGTCTCCCAAGCTTACCCTCTGTAAGAAACCATGCATACAAACTCTATTTTTGTCAATCTTGTTTTTACATGTATTTCCCAATCTTTTCATTGCTTCAAATATATTCCAATTTGCAACATTGATTGGATTGTTTGAAAACATTCACTTTGCAGTACCACTTTTGTCCAGAATATTGCCATCAGACACTTGTAAAGTGTTCAAGAAAGGTTGCTCAATAAGGTATGACGTTAAACCTGTTCGTGATAAAGAAGATTCAGATATGCTCAAAATAGGAAAGGAGTACAGGAGGAATGAAGATTAGGTCCTTCATTCTTTGAACTGCTTTACTGCATTTTAGTGAATAAGTAAAAGGTCGGTATGGCACTGCAGTTTTACAGCTAAGTTAAAGGTTAGCTCAAAATATCAAATATTTTTTTTTTTTGTCTGTTTTTGTGTATTACTAGTGATGTTAGTTCGAACAATTAAGGGACATGAAGGCTTTTCCCCAGTGATGGCTCACTTGATTCTCTTAACATGTGTGCTTGAAAACATATTAACACTGTAAAGAGAAATTCATTTTTGATGACTCACAGAGGACATAACATTATGCTAGGTACATACATTTTAGGTCATACTGACTTCTGCAGTGAAGTATCATTCTATTTCAAAATTACTGAAACATGAACACTCAATTTAAGATAAATGTAACTTGGACTGTTGTACCATTACAATGATGTTCACTGTTAAGTTGGTAAAAATTTTTCTCATGATCAGTTCCTGGTTTGATGGCAAAATACCATGTATATATAGTGAAAATAATGCAGTCTCAAATAGATGCTGGTACCTTGAAGAAATTCTGGGTGTAAACCTTGTAGATCAGGCGTTTATTTGGGGCAGTATGCAATCTTCATCTCAAAGAGGACACATTTCTTTTTAACAGAATGGATAGCACATTAGTAGATTTCAGTGACATGAAGTGGCAGCGAGGTGACTTGACGTTTATTTTCAATGGCGATGCAAAAGGTATGTGTACAGCATTGCTTTATTTGCCATCTTAAAAGAATATTGGGATTTCAGGTACTTAACCCTTTACCCCCTAAGAGTGCAAATTGGCACACAAGGTCATAACTTTGTGAATATTTGATAGATTTCTATTAATTTTTGCCATGAAAATTGTCTTGTGAAGATCTGCTCATTGAAGTCATAAAATTTTAACTCCCTCCCATCCAAGACATGGTTGACCACGCCCAGAAGTTTTTAGTTCCTTTTTCGGGATGCAAATGGAATGCAAGACTTGTTTCATATCAAGCTATGCACTAAGAGCTGCTGAATAAGCTATAGTTTAGGGGTATACCTAATATAGTAGAAGACTGATACATTTTTGAAGTCGTTCATTTTCCCATTTTAAAGCAATTTCTCTAAAAATGTCTTCCTCTTTCATAGCTGCTGATGTCAATTCTTAAATAAGCTGATTAGTGGCTTTCAAATGGTATATTGTACACAGGCAGAGTGTCTTTATTTGCCGAATTGGGAAAAACTGCCGTTCACCTTAGGGGGTAAAGGGTTAAGTATATTTTATTGTCATTGGTTTAAATTCCATTTGGTCTGAAACCTTCATGTATAAAAGAGGTTTTAGTTTTATTTTCCATTGTTTTGGGTTACTGTAGCCAATAATAAATTAAGAGACAGAAAAAAAAGGTAAATCAAATGCCAACCACAACTTTGCATTGCACAATATATTGGCTTGTGGTTGTTTGGACATTAGGACATGTCTTACACTGTAACTATTTAATGTATTTTTTATAAGTTGGCAAATTTATGCAAAATGGGTGGCAAGGCAAAAGTAATTTTTGACAATCCGCTTATAATTTATTAGCATTTATCCGATCTCATTCATGAAATTTGTTGGTTGAAACTGGATTTTTTCTCCACCATTGCAGGAAAGCAATCCTTTGCAGTGTTAGACAATGAGAAAAAAGTCTTTCAAAGACTTAGGACAGAGGTAAGTTCTTTTTAGAAACAAGGGCAAAGATAATTGTCATTTGAAATTTATGTTAACCTTTAAAGTGTCTCATTGAAGATCTATAGCATAATACTATCAGGAATCTTGTTGTGAGGCACTATCCAGCTGTCAGCTGAAAAGTCACTGGAGGAGATTAGTAGTATAGATACAAAACATTTTCTTCTTCTTCTTGAATGACTGAAGAAAGTTCCCGATCTGTGGAAACTGCCTGTGAGTCCCAAATGTGCAAGACTCTGCACATTATCAGAACCATAGGCCAGCAATGTGTGCAAAGAGTTACAGCTTCATAACTCTCTGGACGCATTGCATGCCTTTTTATACTTAAAATATATAGCTTTCTCCTTCCAAGAAGCCCTCCTTTCCCAATGAACAAACTCTTTGGAACATGGTTTATTACAAAAAAGCACTCCTATTCCAATTGGTGTCCTTTTCAATTACCCTCTGCTGTGTAAGCCCACCTGTTCCCTTTTCAACTACTGCTCCATCAGAGTACATTGATATCATCCATTTGTTGTTCACATTGTTTCTGAACAGCTCACATTATACCTGCATTATAAAGCATGTTCAGAGTCTACTGTTATATTCTGGTGAAGGCACAATTTCTCTGAAAGAAAGAAAAGTCAAAAAAGAAATTAAGTATCCCCTCCTGGTCTCCATTCAGCTCTCAAGATTAAATAACCACCCCAGGTGCTAATTAGTACATTCAAAGCTCTATAATACAGACACCAAAGAGGCAGAGCTCAGTGTCCATAATTATTTTGGATGTGTCTCAGGCTTTTAGACAGATGGGCATCCAGGCATCCTGTAGACGGCCACTTATTAAAGAACATTGTTTTATTTTTCATGTGTTGCCTTATAAATTGTTCATTTGAGCAGGCCCTATAGCACATTTTGGAAGCTTGCTTTTCAAATCTCAGCTAAAAGCCTGATGTGTCTACAACGAGAGGGTCAACTGTATTAGAGGAAGAGACAGCAACTTTCAGTAGATTTGAAAATTGTTTAAATGACTGCTTGGATCTGGAATCTTGGATGCAGTAAGATTTTTTTCTTCCCTCTAGTATTACAGGGTAATTACTAAGAGGGCAAAAAGAGACAGTTGAGGTTGTGATCATTATCAGTATGCTAGGTGGTAATTTTGTTGACAACATGAGTGAACAACAGCTCATGTTAATCCAATCTGGATCTTTTTTTTTTCTTTTTTTCAGGACACTGAAGCTGAAATCGAAGAAGAAGTTGACCTTCTAATGAGCAGGTATTTTCATTGGTTATTTCACATTTTATACAATACATCTTGTTGGCTTGTCACCGATTTGAATTTGACATATTGCCACTACCAATCAGATGAATACATCAAACCAAATGGATGATTAACAATTACCATAGACTATTCACTCTGTATTTCTATGAGGTGATAGTCGATGAGGCCACTTCACTGAAATTTCTACTAAAATTAAGCTACATTTCTTATAGATAATGATTTCCTATATTCACGATTTCTCTACACATAAAGAAGTATGAAACTTCATGCTTAAGCAAAATTGTATACGGACTGAATTGTCATATCTTCATTCAATTATTTTGAGGTTTTATAGCTCAATATCACTGAAATGAATTATTATGTTACACTTCTAAATCCTCCCCTGGAACTTTGAAGAAACAAGAAAATCTCAGGTCAGCTATTTTTGAGATGACCTCCAGTCATTTCACACTTATGTCTGACAGTGAACAATAGCTCTACCAGTTAGATTACAATACCACAAGAATTCTTCAAAAAAGGTACAGACTGTAATTTAATATGGTGTGCACTTTAGAATGGTTTTCGAAAGTACATATATGTAATCAGGCAATTACTTTGGTTATGGTTTTATTTTGAGATTAACTGAGTATCCTAATTTGTAAGTAATCAGTTTGGTTTTGGTTTTATCACACTCAGTTGAAAACCTCTCTAGTCATCTGATATCTGATTGGTTTTCCTCACAACAGTGCATAATAAAATTCTCCAAGTTATTCTTAGTAATGGTTTTTATTTTTCAATCACAGTAAACATGTATAACATAACCACGACTCAGAATGACTGTAAAATAGTTTCTTCTCTGGTTAATTACACCTTTTTCGTCATTAATTGCCGTACTCAAAATTATTCAAAAATTTCGTCTTTGCAGTGACATTGTTTCTGCAATGATGTCAACTAAACCCATCACCTTTAGTCGATCACAAGCTGGATGGATTTGGCGTGCAGATAGAACAGTGAGTATCTAGTGCTATGGAACCTTGTCAAATACTTTCATCTATGGCTGTATGAGCCCCGATAATTTACATGTTGAATACACTGAAGTCTTGTGTTTTACATCTGTTTCTTTATTTTTCTCTATAGGAAATGGTTGGACCCTACCTGTCCGAAGTGTACTCCATAAATGGAATGATGCTTATCTCCAGAAAACGGTAATGACTGAGTCTGGATGAAGTACACTAACGTGCCCAGCATTATTGAGCTTTGTAATTAGAGAATGAGGTAACTGTATTTTACTGAGATTTCCTTCTTATCACCAGGCGGGAGCACCTGACAGAGGAGGATGTGGTCAAAAATAAGGTGTGCTGTTTTTCTATATTCATTCACTGTTTGGGGTAAATCAAATGGGAATTAACACAAGCTCTCACGAGTTGAGGACACGATCAAGTTGAGCAAGATTTTTCTGCGCGTTTTTGTCTGTCTGGTCAGTGAGGAATGATATTGCATGTGTGTTATAGTTTTTACAAGTCACACAGTGAAGCAACTTTATATTGAAGGAGCCATTGCCAAAAGCTCCAACACAAAGCACGTAGTCAAGTGTACAAAACCTCTTGTGGACAGTTGTAATTAAAGATTTAATGTTTCACACAATTCACGCAAGAAATGATAAGAGCACATGATTATTAGTCGCTAAGTAAGAGTTTGGAGTGTCGTGAAAGTTTTGAAACCTTATGTGTTTGGAGAGTTTGGAGTGTCGTGAAAGTTTTAAAACCTTATTTGTTTGCTTGTTAGTAGCTTTTAACAACACACTTTTCTTTTAATTTTTTTTTTTTTTGTTAGTAGTTTCAAATAGATATTAACAATGCAAAATACGTAATTTTATAGCGCACAGTTACTGTTGCGATGCTAAAACTACACAACAATGGCAATGATTAAGTTTGTTCAAAATCCATCTTTCGTCAACAGGCCCTCATTGACACTCTAAGTAAAGGAAGTGGAAATATTATGGACAGTCTCCCAGAGGTGAGAGAAATTACAATTTCCTGATAGTGCCTCTAATACTTATGTTAAAACATGCATTTTTTAAACTATATTTTTCAGACTTCACGGCGAAATTCACTTCATCCACCACCAAAAACTGGCCTGACATGGGATGAATACCTGCTGTATGACTCTGACAGGTAAATTGCTATTTACTGCACTGACATTGAGTATTGCACAAAACTTTAAAAGGCGGGAAATGTCCTCATCATTTATAATGATTAGATAAATTCTAGTTGAAAGTGTAAAAACATGAGCGTCATTCACCTTTGCAAGTTTGGCCATCCTTTACATGTAATCAATTTCCATTCTAGCGCATTCACCACCTAACTTTAGAAATAAGAAGAAATTTGGGGCGAGTCTTGGGGCGAGTCTTATCTCACAGTCGCTTGTGGGATGGTTACTAAGGACAGTAAAGATTCTCGTCTCGGAACGATCCCACAAGCCACTGCGAGATGAGACGCCTCGGGTTTCTTCTCGTTTTGATAAGTGGCGAATGTTAATCTTGCTAAATTTCTTATGGGTTCGTGATATTTGTTGAGTGTTTTTCTTTTGAACTAGTGGTTTAATAGATGAGAGTTTTTTGTCTTACAAAGTGAAACTTTTGTGGTAAGACCATTGAATTGTATTGGATGGTGGGTGTTAATAAAAGTATCATTTCATTCACAGATTGCCGCCATTAGGCCGACCAATGGTGCTTAAAGAAGACAGGAAATCTGTTAAAGCCCATGTAGCGATGGTAAATCTGTTTTAGTTTAATCTTTTTTCTTATTTTTGATCTGGAACGATAGATCTCTCTGTTCTCGATAGAGCTAACTGTTGTTTTTTCTTTTCTTTATTACACTTTTACAGAGTGAAGAATTCCCTCTTTCTGTTGACCTGTAAGTTTGTTTTTCTATGCACGTGTATCTTCCCTTGAATTTGCTACTTTGGACGCGAGAAGAATTCTGGGACGAAGATCAACTCGAGATCTCTCAAACGACTGCGCGTTGAGACTCGTCCCAGATTTTTCTCGTTCTAAAGGGATTCCACTATGTTTGCTAATTATATTACAGTGTAAATACGTCTAAGATGATTGCCAATCAGTTTTCTTGCATTTTTATAGCATCCTTAAAGTGCTAGAGGTTGTCGCTCCATTTAAGCATTTCAACAAGTTAAAAGAGTTTGTGGCAATGAAACTTCCAGCTGGATTTCCCGTCAGAATAGGTTGGTGTGGCTTGTACTTATTGAAGTTAGCCAGTCGTTAGTTTCCTTCACATACGTTTCTTTAGTCGTCACGCAATGTTTCTCCTTACGTGAGGTCACTCGGAACGGCTACAAATGAAATACAAGAGAGACATTTTCATTGATCTTTTACATAGTTATTCTCTTTTTATTTCACTTAACAGAGATACCAGTGTTTCCAACGATCACAGCTCGTGTGACGTTCCAGGACTTTAAATCCTGTAACAGCATTCCCTCTTCAATGTTCTTTATACCTCGAGATTACAAGGTTTGTCAAGCTCTCAAGGATTTGTTTTCAGGGGAAGGGTGAGGGAGCCCCAAACAGACAGTTCATTTGGAACGTCGTGCAATCTTTCATGTGCAAGGAAAGATTGCGTTAAATGCTAACAGAACGTTGTCTTAGTAGAGTCGATGGGAGGGAGGGTCAGATTTTTGGCGTAAAGAGAAGCTGAATAGAACATTTAGGTATTCTAGGTGATGGACTGGCACTAGCTTGCAATGGAGGCTCATGTCATTTGCATTTGAGAAGACTCCCTGCATTAGCCTCAGTTGCAAGCTAGTTCCAGTCCAATACCGTGAATACGAATATGGTCTGTTGAAAGTGTATCGCAATTTTGTATTATTGCCGCGTCATTTTCAGTGTTATTAAGCACTGGATTGATCAGCTGTTTCTCTGCAGGTGACTTAAGTCTTGTTCTTTTTTTTTTCCTCAGGAGGATCCTAATCGGTTCCCAGATTTGTAGACGGAATGAAATTTTACGACATTGTTGTTCGTATCTGTGCCCACAGAATTTCCTGTTCGCCGATAACACAATACTAGGCAGGCCGCAAGTTTATTATTTAGCTTTTTACGACAATCGATTTTGCCTGCACTTGCTCGCTATTACCAAGGCAGAATATACCGTCCTTCAAATCAATCGTATTTAACATTTTTGCTATCGACATAAACTCTATTGTCAGACAAGTTAGAAATAACAATTTATTCAATTTTCGTGCGAGGAAATTTGTAGAAAATTGAAAATGACCGTGAGCGTTTCTTTTCAAGGCTGTAAAAACAGTTTTTGTTTGTTGCACATTTTAAGCGTTCAAAGCTATAGTAAAATGTTGCGCTTGCTAGTTTAGGAATTTCGTGGGCTTCAATTTAAGTAGTCTCCAAACTCGATTCTGAAAGTAGTTCCTGTTTAGTTTTGGTATTTATTTTGTTCACTTTTGCGTTGTATAAATGCTTCCAACGTGTGTAAGATATAATTTAACAGCTGAATTTTGTGATATTTATATATAACAATCATTCATTCCCAATACACGGTGCAATTGTGTTTTCAATCTAGTGGAATGTTTGCAGTATTGTAGTCAGGAGGATATAACGACCAAAGGAAAACCTATTTTTATATTTAGCTTTATAGGAGGGCGATTGTAATTTTTCTCTAAGTGGAACATAC